CGTTTTCTGCACGTCGCACGTCCAGGCGTGGGCGCGCGCTCTTGCAATGCCAGCTTGCTCTGCCACGGTGCAGTGCAGGCGTGCGGAACAAGAGCCAAGGATTGCAAAAAAACCAAGGATTGCAACAAAAACCCTTGCAACAAAAACCCTTGCAAACCAAAGGCTTTTTTTTGCAATCCTTGTTTTTTTTGTAATCCTGTCTTTTTTTGCAATCCTTCGTTCAAAGCCGCGGTGCGGCGCTCGAGGCCCGCGGGCCCGCTGCGCAGGGCAGGGGGCCGCAGGGGCGGCGTGCCGGTCGGGCGCTGCCGGGCGCGGGCCAAGGGGGGCAGCCTCCCGCGCGCGTCCTCGGGGGAGCCGGCCACCGGGGCTCGAGCGAGCGCTGCCGCGTGGCCAGGCCTTGACGTGAGGAAGTGGGTCCTGTTGGAAGCGGGTCTTGTGTTTTGGGCCGTTGTTTGTTGCTTCCTGCTGCTTATGGTACAGTCTTCCCCGAGCGCTGTCGCGTGGCCAAGCCTTGACGTGAGGAAGTGGGTCCTGTTGGAAGCGGGTCTTGTGTTTTGGGCCGTTTTTTGTTGTCTCCTGTTGCTTTTGGTGTATTCTTCTGCGCCGCCCAGGGGCCTCGGCGGGGCCGGCCGCCAAAGCACGAGTGGGGGTGCAGGGCTGGCCCGGGGGGAAGGCCCACTATAGGGTGCAGGCCCGCCCTGCCCTGACGCCGAGACGTGGAGGAGAGAGAGGGGTCAGGAGCAGAGGAAGGCGGCGGGGGGAGGGAGGGGCGGAGGAGGGCGGCGCGAGGAGGAGGAGGAGGAGGACAGAGTCAGGCGATCGCAAACATGGATCAAGGGGGCGTGGGTTAGCGACGGGTCCCGTTTCCAGGGGGAATCGCGGATTGCCGCCGCCCAGCGAGGCGGCACCGGCCGCGTTTTGGGGAGGGCGCCTCCCCCGACCCAGGGATCCTGGCGACCGCGCGCTAGATCCGTGGATCGCCACTCCGTGCTTGCGCGCCCCCCGACGGAGGGGTGCGCGTGGAGGTGGTGGGGGCGCCCCCCCCCCCCCCCCCCGCAGGAGATCCAGCTGACGCTCTTCAGCCTGGGCAAGTCGAACTGCTCGAGGCCGGCCCGGCCGTGGCCGCCGCGGGCGGGCGCGCGGGCGGCCCCTGGGCGCGGCTCCGTCCTCGCCCGTTTCGGCCCACGTGCGGCCACACGGGGCCTTCGAGGGGCCACCTTCGCCTCCTCCTCCTCCTCCTCCTCCTCCTCCTCCTCCTCTCCTTCATCCTCTTCCACCTCCTCCTCCTCTCCTCCTCCTTCCTCCTCCTCCTCCGCCTCCTCCTCCTCCTCCTTGTCCTCCTCCTCCTCCTCCACCTCCTCCTCCTCCTCCTCCTTCGCCTTCTCCTCCTCCTCCTCCTCCTCCTCCTCCTCCTCGCTCTCCTGGGGTTGCAGGGTGGGCCCAAGGTCAGAGGGTACCGAAGGCCCATGCTGCCAGAAAGTTCCAGGGCACGCCGGGGGTGTGAGGGGTCAGGCATTGGAGATGTCCGGACTTGTATGTGTGAGTTTCCGATTCCGCTCGCTTCCCTAGCTGCACGTCAGAAGCGCGTGCACTGCGGACGTTGCGGCCGTGGCTCATGGCAGAAGATGGAAGAGCAGGAGGATGAGGGGGAGGAGGAGGAGGACAAGCTAGGTGCGCTCGCGTCATATCTGACGTCCTACCCCTCCCTCCCATCCCTTACCATGGCGCTGATTTTCTCTATCCGCGGACGCGTGTCGTAGCGGACCTGTGGCTCCGCGCGCGCGTGCGTAGTGGGTGGTGGTGCACGTGCGTGCGTGCGTGCGTGTGTGCGTGGTTGTCGTGGTGGTGGGTGGTGGTGGTGGTGGGGTGGTAGTGGTGGTGGTGGTGGTGGTGGTGATGGTGGTGGTGGTGCTGGTGGTGGTGGTGGTGCTGGTGGTGGTGGTGTTGGTACTGGTGCTGGTGCTGGTGGTGGTGGTGGTGGTGGTGGTGGTGGTGGTGGTGGTGGTGGTGGTGGCGGTGCGGCGCGGTGGTGGGGGGCGGATGGGCGCGCGAGAAAAAGGCCCGCGCTGGGGCGAGAACGCCATCCTGAACGACGGAGGCCAAACACCGATCCGAAAATGAGGCCCACGCTGCAGCGGGAGCACGATTCGGAACGATTCGGGAGCAGAAATGAGGCCGGCGCCTCAACGAGAGCAGCATTTTGGGAAACAATGACGCCAGCGCCTCAGCGAGAGTCGTTTCCCGGGATTTCCCGGGAATCCTGTGTGTAAAAAAACAATGCGCGGGGGATGCGCGGCCATCACCCGGACGCCATCAGGGGAAGAGGGAGAGTATTTTCATATTGAGTAATTGTGGAGGAGGAGGAAGAGGAGGAGGAGGAGGAGGAGGAGGAGACCTTTTAGAGTTCTCTTCGAGTCTGTTGCCGGGCTTCCTCGCGGCCTCTTGGAGGCCTCGCGGGGGCCTCTTCGGAGGCTTTGGATGCCTCCTCGAGGCCTCTTGTGGGCCTCTGGTGCCTCTTGTGAGTGGCTCCCGGGACTCCTTCGCCTTCTTCGAGGGCATCCTGCAAATGTTGTGAGCTTCCTCGGCCGTCTTGTGGGCCTCTAGTGTACCTCTTGGTCCGTCTCGGGGCCCTCTTGCGGCCTCCATTTCTGTAGGCCTCGTCGAAGAGTCAAATGACTTCACGAGGCCTTGCATCCATGTCATCTCGCGCGGAGGCTCTCTGCGCGTTGGACTCATCGAAGCCCGCTCCCATCAACGCCTTTGCCTTAGCCTCCCTCTCTGACAAGCCTCTGGCCTCCCACACATCATGCAGCTTCCAGCTTCGGGCTGGCCCGTGTGCATCCATGCTCGGGCCTCCGACATATTAGTCCCTCCATCCCAGCAGCGACTTCGCACCGGTCCCCCGCGCTGCCCTCTTAATTATGGGGTTGGTCCAGTCGGACCGGCATTGCAAGCTTGCTTGCACCTTTTCTGGCTCGGATACGGGCGAGGGCTGCCCCAGAGGTCCCCTGAGCTTTCTGGAGACCCACGAGGCCTGTCCCCAGAGGCACCGAGAGGCCCCGGGCCCAGGTCCAGATGGTCCGGGCGCTGCCGCGCGCCTCCGGGAGGCCGCCCTGTGGATCGGGCGGGCCACCGCGTACGCGAACCGGTGCCCTCTCGACACCCTGACGCCCGTGGACCCCGGGGCCGAGCGGCAGTACGCGAGGGACTCCGAGGCGGAGCGGCCGCGACGCACGCGCGGCTGCAAGCGCAAGGCCGCGCCTGCGGGCGACGCCCGCGAGCTCGGCGACGAGGCGGCGAGGGCCTGCCCTCCGCGCGCCGCGCCGTGCGCCGCCCGGGCCTCGGCTGGCGGCGCGCTCGGCAGGCCGGCAGGCGCCGGGGCGCCTGCGGCTACGGTCTGGCGCCAGGAGAGGGCCAAGAAGGCCAGAGTCGCCGAGCGAGTGGCGGCTGCCCGCGACGAGCAGCTCATGGCCGGCTGGCTGGCTCGCCGCCCGCCGCAGCCGCAGGCCAGCGAGGCCGCCCCCGCGGCCGACCGCATGGCCGCCTTGCGGGCCCGGACTGCCGCGAAGGAGGGGCGCGCCGAAGCGACGGCAGCCTCACCAGGGGGCCACACCTGAGCTGTGTGGCGTGCTCGTGAATTCAGGCCAAGGCAGCGCCCTCGGTGGGGCCGCAGCCCGTGCTGTCTTCTGCGCCCTTGACCAAATCGAGAGAGGCCCCGAGAGAAGCCTCGACTCTTCCTCCTCCTCCTCCTCCTCTTCCTCCTCCTCCCCTTCCTCCTCCTCCTCCTCCTCCTCCTCCTCCTCCTCCTCCTTCTCTTCCTTCTCCTTCTCCTCCTCCTCCTCCTCTTCCCCCCCCCTTCTCCTCCTCCTCCTCCTCCTCCTCCTCCTCCTCCTCCTCCTCCTCCTCCCCCTCCTCCTCCTCCTCCTCCTCCTCCTCCTCCTCCTCGTGGCTGCTGCCGCTGCGTCTGCGCTGACCGCTTTCTGTGGTTTCAGACAGCGTTCCATTGCCATCGGGCTCCCCACCTCCATCTCTTCTGACCCGAACGCGCGCCATCTTCATCCTGAGTTCTTTTTGTTGACGGCCCCGGAGAAACGTCGCGGCGCGAGGGAGTCTGGGACCGCCTTCTCCTCCTCCTCATCCTCGTCCTCTGTAAATTCTCCCCCCCCCATTTTCTTGAGGATGCATCTCTTTGTAGATCAAAATCCAGCCTCGGCGCGAGTAAATCCATGGTCGAACATCGGGTTGAATCCTACGCAATCTTGGGATGTTTGTTAAACTCCGACTAGTCTTGCTCGATATTTGGCCCAAGCTGGCCTCATTCATTTGAATGACCCCTTGACCGGGCTTGCTCGCTCGTGCGAAGACCTCCAAGGACCTGTTCGGCTCTAGTTCGATTATAGTTCGATTCTAGCTCGACTCAAGTTCGGCTCGAACTCGGCTGAAGTTTGACTCGCGTCGACGGACGTTCGACGACGCATCGACGCATTAGTGGAGAGTGGTTCCAGAAAAGGTCCCCGGAACAAGTATATAATTTCTCCTCCCTCCCCTACCTCGTCCTCTTCTGACCCGGATGCACGCTAGGGTTGCACAGGGAACGTGGCATTCGCGCCCGCCAGTCGCCCTCAAACTCGCCCCGCGGATCTGTCCGTGGTAGTCGTTGTTACCATAATCTCGATGCGGATCCAGCCGTGGCGGCGAGGCCCAAAACGGGGGAACAGCAACTCGAATCTCGAGCCAGGCGATCGCAAACATGGATCAAGGGGGCGTGGATTAGCGACGGGTCCCTTTTCCATCGGAAATCGTGGACTGCCGCCGCCCAGCGAGGCGGCACCGGCCGCATCTTGGGGAGGGCGCCTGCCCCGATCCAGGGATCCTGGCGACCGCACGCCAGATCGGTGGATCGCCCATCCGTGCTTGCGACCCTTTTGACCCCTCCTCGTTGGCCCCGCATGCGTGCGAGCAGGGCCGTCTCGCCCCGCCCGCTGTCTCTCAGACAGGCCATGCGTCGGGGGCGCCGCCGAGCAGCAGGCCACGGCCAAGGGCGCCGCTGGCGCCGCGGAGGGCTCCGGGTCCGGGGGCGGCGCGCTGGGCCTGGACCACGAGGCCGCGGGGAGGGAGGGTCAGGGAGGGAACGTTTGGGGGGGGGAGAGCCAGGCTCGAGCTTCGAGGTTTCCAGACGCTGTCGACGGTTGCCTGCCGTCTTCCAGCCTCGGAGTGCTCTCCAGCAGCTGCGCCTCGCCGCGGGCGTTCTGGGGTGCCCAGATCGTCCCGAACGGCCGCGGGAGAGCCGAGCTTTGGCTCGAGAGCCAAGGGGGATGGAGGGGGTCATCGGAGGAAAACCCACAGCGCAGTCAGTGAGCACGCACACCGTCGGCCAGGCGCGCGTCCCCCCAGGGTGGCGGTTGGGAATCCTGCACGGATTGGGAAGTTGCGCGGTGTTTGGACAGTTCTGGCATTCCCCTGTTCTCGGTTCCTTTGCTCCGCCAAGGCTGTTCGATCGCCCGCGCATTATGGAGTCGAATAGCCGCAAGCCCCGGATAATGAATCACCTTCCCTTCACCATTGAGAGTTGACTATCTCCAGCCAAGACAGAGTTGGTCGGGGGAGAGGGGCGGCAAGGCCGAACTTCTTATCGCGGTGGAAAGTTTCGGAGCGAAGTTGAGTTTTCGCAAGTCACGAGCGTGTGGCAGGGCTGTGGAATTCACCATGTCAACTTTCTTCAGTCACAAATCTGTGGCAGGACTGGGATTCTGACCTTCTCAGCCTTTCCCGAGTGAGGAACGTGTGGCAGGGCCATGGAATTCTCACAATCTCAGCCTTCCCGAGTCACGAACGTGTGGCAGGGCCATCCTCGTCGTCGTCGTCGTCGTCGTCGTCGTCGTCGATTTGCCGGGGCAAATCGTTTATTGTCCTCCCCGGACCCCGAACTTCATTATCCTCTCGGTGTTATTATCAGGGATGGTCGGTCAGGCAGTTCGCTGCTATTCGGTCGCAAGCGCACGAGCGTTTGCACCCCTGACACAGAAAAAACGTCCGCCGAATTCTGCATATTGCCGCCGTGCTTCTTTTCTCGCCACCACCCCCGCAATTCTAGTTCCATTGCCTCCTCCTCCTCCTCCCTCTCCTCCTGCTCCACCTCCTCCTCCTCTTCTCCTCCCCCCCCTCCTCTCTCCTCCCCTCCCCCCCCCCCCCCCCCCTCGTCCTCGTCCGCCCCCTCATCCCCCTCCTCCGATCCTCCTCCTCCTCCTCCTCTTCCTCCTCCTCCTCTTCCTCCTCCTCCCTCCTCCTCCCTCCTCCTCCTCCTTCTCCCCCTCCTCTTTCCTCCTCCTCCTCCTGCTCTTCTTGCCTGCATCCTCTTCCTCCTCCTTCTCCTCCTCGTTCTCCTCCTCCTCCTCCTCCTCCGCATCCTCCTCCTCCGCCTCCTCCTCCTATTGGCTCCTATTGGCTCCGATGCCGTCTGTCACCGCTGGGACGTCTGCGATAAAGTGGCGAAACAAATGCTCAGGGTGGCAAGGACGAAAGTCTGACAGCTATTCCGCCTCCTTGGACGTCCAGCCAGACGGCTGCCAGACCAGGGGAACCGACCTTCCCACGAACTTCTTCGAGCTGGGGTCAATTCCTCGCGTCAACTGCTTCAAAGTCCCTTCTGCGGGGCGATTGCGCAGACTTCCGTGGCATTCTTCTTCCTCATCCTACTCCTCCTGTCTCTTCTTCCTTCCCCCCCTCTCCTCGCCCCTCCTCCCCCCCTTCCTCCTCCGCCCACGGGACCTTGACGCGCGATCCGTGGCCAGACGTCGCGTCAAGGGCGCCTACCATGCGTGTCGAGTCGCTGGCCGAGGCCGCGAGCTCGATGCCGATCCGGCTTCATTCGCCAGGCACGGCCGGGGCGAGTCGGAGCCAGGCGTGGCGACCCCAGCTCGATCCGATGCGAGACGACGCGGCGGCCATCCGATCCGTTTCCGGTCCGACTCGGCTTCGGGGGTCGAGCCGGCGGAGGCCTGCCTGTGCCCAGCACGGGGCCGTGAGAGCCCCTGGGCCCGCGTGCTGAGCAGACCGAAGCACTGACTGCGTGACCCAGGCGCGCCCTGGGAGGGACCTGGGCGCGCCCTCCATCGGACTTCGCCCCGGGGCCTCCAGCGCGCCCCGCCTCCGCCTCCCCACCCCTTCTCCTCCATCCTCTTCCTCCTCCACTTTCCACGCCTTCTGCTCGACGATTCCTCTCTCTCTCTCTTTCTCGCTCTCCTTATATTTCCTCCACCACCCTTCCTCTTCGATTATCCCCCATCCTCCTCGTCGACCTTCCTCTTCCCCTCTCCCCCCCCTCCTCCCCCCCTCCCTCGTTCTCACTTCCCTCCCTCGCCCCCGCCTGCCTGTTCGAGGACGGCGCACCGCCTCTCCCGACGTTCGACGACGACGCCTCCTCCTCCTACTCCTCCTCTTCCTCCTCCTCCTCCTCCATCCCTGCTTCGCCGTAGTAGTAGTAGTAGTAGTAGTAGTAGTAGTAGTAGTAGTAGTAGTAGTAGTAGTCGTAGT